TGTTTGATCCAAATATAAGTAGATCATCTACATAAAGACATATGATAGTGCAAATGCGATTCTCAGATTTGTAATAAACGCATTTGTCACTTTCATTCACTTTATATCCATTTGATATCATTAAGTTATCAAATTTTTCATGCCATTGCTTAGGGGCTTGTTTTAGTCCATATAGAGACTTGTCTAACTTACAAACCTTGTTTTCTTGTCCATGGATCACAAACCCTTCTGGTTGTTCCATATAGATTTCTTCCTCTAAGTCACCATTTAAAAAGGCTGTTTTAACATCCATTTGGTGTACTATTAAGTTATAAATAGCAGCAATTGAAATAAGTACCCTAATGGATGTGATTCTAGTGACTGGAGAGAAAGTGTCGAAGAAATCTATATTTTCTCTTTGTCTAAAACCCTTGGCTACAAGGCGAGCCTTGTATTTATCAATAGTTCCATCAGGTTTTAGTTTCTTTTTCAGAACCCATTTACAACCGATCGGTTTGCAACCAGGAGGCAAGTCTACTAAGTGCCATGTCTTGTTAGAATCTAGGGATTCTATCTCATCATTTATAGCTTCTTGCCATAAATCTGCATCTAGAGATGACAATGCTGCTTGAAGATTTATTGGATCTTCTTCTATATTATAAGCCGCATAATCAGGCCCATAGTCTTTAGCGACTCTTACTCTTTTACTTCTCCGAAGTTTTGTTTCTACTTCGTTGTTGTTTTCTGTACTTCTTATCACAGGAATGTGACTCGATTGGGTGCCCCCACTATTTCTCAGTTTGAAAGGAAATTTGTCTTCATAGAATTCAACATCATTTGATTCTATGATTACTTTTGCATTTAGGTCATAGAACCTATATGCCTTACTGTTTGCTGCATACCCAATGAATACACATTCATATGCTCTACTAGCGAGTTTAACTCGTTTCGGATCCGGAATTCTGACATAAGCCAGGCAGCCCCAAGTTCTCAAATAAGACAAGTTTGGTTGTCTTTTCTTTAATATCTCATATGGTGAGATCTTACTTTTTGACTTGGGGATTCTATTCAGGACGTAGCAAACAGTCAATAAAATTTCCCCCCACCAGTGAGGAGCAGCACCAGAATTTATCATAATTGCAACAACAAGTTCGGTAAGAGTCCTATTCTTTCTTTCTGCTTTACCATTCATTTCAGGAGAATATGGAGCAGTCGTTTCATGTACAATTCCATGTTCTTTATAAAAGTCATTAAATAAACCAGAATCATATTCAGTCCCCCTATCACTACGAAGTCTCTTAATCTTCTTACTAAGTTGATTCTCAATTTCAGTTACATATATCTTAAACATTTCAAGCGCTTCACTTTTATTCTTCATTAAGTATACATAAGTATAATCTGAATAATCATCAATAAAAGTGATAAAATAACGTTTATTGTTTCTAGTTAAACTTCCATCTAATTCGCATATATCAGAATGTATAAGATCTAGGGGATTAGATTCCTTATTAATTGATTTATGCGAAGTCTTGATTATTTTTGCTTGACTACAATATTCACATTTATTTGTATCATTAATACTTAATTTAGGGATTAGGCCCAAGTTGCTTGCATTATGCATAATTCGCTTATTAACGTGACAAAGTCTAGTATGCCAAATATTAAAATCACACAAAGAGTAAACAGAAGGAGAAATCTTATTAAAATCAACATTCAACTTAAACATGCCATCAGTGGCGTACCCTTTCCCAACAAAAATACCATTCTTAGTGATGGTGTACAAATCTGCCCCTAAAGTTTGACTAAACCCTGCCTTATTTAAAAGAAAACCAGAAACAAGATTCTTCCTAATTTCAGGAACGTGCATGACGTCCTTCAAGATCAAAGTCTTTCCTGAGGTGAATTTCAGCTCAACATCCCCAATTCCAGCAACCTTAGTGGTGTGAGCATCTCCCAACAACACTTTCTTATCTTCAGCATTCATGTATGTTTTGAACATAGCACGATCGTAGCAGACATGACGAGAGGCGCCAGTGTCTATCCACCAACCATCACTTCCACCAACCATGTTGACTTCAGTGATCATAGCAATGAATTGCTCATCAGTCAGGTTAACCTGAGCATTTGAGCCAACAACAGGTTTAGGCCTGCTCTTACACCTTTTTGCCATGTGACCCGGTTTCCCACAATTGTAGCAAGTGAAAACCGGAGCATCATTTCTCTGTGGTGGTGGTTGCTGCCTAGCAATTGGAGCATTTGGGGCCCTAGAGGGATTCCCATTCTTAATTCGGTTCATAGCATTGCGGTTCTGATTCTTTAATGGTTTGCCCGTAGGCTTCAGAACCGCACCGAATTTCTTTTTGTTGTTCGAAACAACTAAGACTTCATCTTTCTGATCTTGTCTTCGAGCTTCCTCTTCAATTCGGAGGCGAGTAATCAAACTTTCGGTGGAAAACTCTTTGGTTTTATGGCGAAGCATATTTTTGAAATCTTTCCAAGCAGGGGGCAGTTTGTCAATAATAACAGCAATTTGAAATTGTTCATTCAGAGGCATACCTTCAGTTATGATTTCATGAGCAATTTTCTGAATTTCGTGGCTTTGAGTTTCCACAGACTTTTCATCCACCATCTTGTAATTCAAGTAGCGGCTGACAGCATATTTCTTTGCACCTGCTTCTTCGGTATCATATTTCTTCTGCAAAGCTTCCCACACTTCTTTAGCAGTGTTGTAATTACTGTAGTAATCGTACAGGTCATCAGCAAGACCGTTCAGGATGTGATTTTTGCATAGGTAGTCATTCTCTTGCCATATGGCAATTTCTTTTCGAAGCTGTAAATCATCTGCTGCGGCTTTGGCTTTTGCAGCAGCTTGTGCTTCAGCAGAGCTGGGAGCTTTGTCAGAAGTTACAATGGTTGCAGCATCAGTTTGTTCGGTTGATCCAGAAGGAACAACAGGGATTTCCTCAGTCAGAACGTGGGCAACCTTCTTGATAGTCAAGAAAAATCTCATCTTGGCTTGCCAACGTTTGAAATGAGAACCCTCAAACTTAAACGGTTTGTCAGTGACAGCAGCGACCGCATTATTACCGATAATTTCCTCAGTAGCCATGGCAGTTAAGGCAAACGTCTTAAAATTGTTGTTCACGGATTATGGAAAAGAAGAATAGCCACTGAGAAATTTATCGGGTCGAGTCGTGGTTCGGTACGCTTTCTTTAAGACGTTTCGCCGGATGCCAACAAAGTGCAAGGCAGTCGATAATAGGCGACGTCTCCAGGATAAAACAGCCCGTTCGAATAAAATACGATTATCACTTGCACTGTGATAAATCGTTCGATGAATAACACCTTTCTGATGGTGTAGAAACCACTCGTAGTATCTGCAAAGAAGCAGTCGAAAATACAGAGTATAAAAAAATTGAGATGAAGCAGAATAGAGAGAGAGAAGAGTGAAAACGAGATTTTGAATTCTGGAGTTATTTGCAAATGAAATAAGCACGGATCCAACAAAACGGTTCGAAAAAGTAGGAAGAACGTGGGAGAGGGTGGAATTGGCCCAGTCAAAAGTGACCGTTATTGCTTGGTCAGACAGTCATGCAGTCATGCGTTTTGACTCTTGGAAGGCAAGTAATTGACACGTCACTAATTCTGTAATTAATTAATATTAAATATTAATTAATTTCCACTATTTTTAATTAATTAATGCTAATTAATTCCACCGAATTAATTAATTATTAATAATCATTAATAATTAATTTTTCACCAAAATCCGGTTCAAAAAGTTAATTCATCTAGACCGAACCGAACCGAACCGAACCGAGCCGGTCGGACGGCGGCGCAAGCGCGTGTGTGTCTAGATGACTTAGTGGTGTGTCCTCACTCCTTAACAAAATTGGGGTGCCCCTTGGGGCCCAACCCAAGTGTCCAAGTTGGAGTATTTATGCACTACTAGAAGTTGTGTTCCCTCCAATGTGGAACTAAAATGAATCCTTTCAAATTCACTCACAAACTAGTTCATTCATGTGCTCATTTATTGCCCATTTAATGTCAATGAATCATTCCAATTCCCAATCCAAGTTATCATCATTCCAAGATTTCCAACAGGAAGTGTATGAGAAAATGATAGACTATATTGTTGATCAACACACTATTGATTTGGATCCTCAACTCTTCATAAAAGCTAAGGTTAGATTTAAATGATCAATTGAATTTTAATTTATTTCAAGCTTTTGATGTTAAGAATTTTAATTTATCAATTTGGATCTGACACTCTTACATTTTAGTTAGATGACTCTATTCTTAAAACAATCTGAGTCTTCTTTTCAGAAAGAGTTGAAGGAGTCTAAAGACATCTATGCTCATTCACATACGAGATCTTCACCAGATACATACATACTGTACGATACCTGATTTTTTTGGGTTGGTGCTTACCTATTATGTTTTTGACAATCTATTTGTTAGGTGAAGAGAATTTTATTTTTCTTTAGATAGTAATGATAGTACATAAATAGCATATGCTGTCAAATTGTCGCCATCATTTACTCCATTTTGTAGTTATGCAATGTATTCTCTATTTCATTCCGTATACATACTTGTGCGTACCTTCTTTTCAGGGACAGATTGAGATACTCATTACGAATTTGTAATAAACACTATTTGACCATCAATTTAAATGAAATAAATACACCTTTTTTTATGAATTTAAGTCTCTATTAAAATAAGACCCAAAAATACCTCAATCGAAACAAAAGAATTTCATAATTTTAAAAACATAGTAATAATATTAAAATATAAGTAAAATAAACATTGAAATTGGCGAGATAAATTTGGAGTATGACACAGAGGTAATTTCGATATCAGCTCGGCAAACCTCATCACTCATTAGGGTCTTGATCCTTTTGGGAGTACCTTGTTGGACATTCTCTTGGATGACTGGAGCAGAAACTTAGGGCTCAGCCACGCTGGAGGTAGCCTTAGATCCCACCCCTTTGCCCTTCTTCAAAGCCCGGGTCTCCAGCCCGGACATGTTCGACTTGATTACGAATGCCCCACATGCACCCCTCTGGGCAGCGTTTGCCTCCATCATCAATATCTTCTGCTCGGTTACGGAAAGATCTGTCATCTTATCTGTAAAGAAAAAAGAAGGCGGTATAAGTATTGTATAAGAGTATGTGATGGCTAAAACAAAAATAAAGGCTATTATCAAGGAAATAAGAAATTTGTTCAACGGTTAGAGACAATAAATATTTGACCTTCATCATACGGAAAAAGTCAAGTACGGTCAAAGTTTGGACTTCCAAGTTGCTCAACTTCTCAAACGTAAACCCAAATATAGGAGAAGGGTCTCAGGTCCAGTAGAAGGGAAAGTGGGGGTTGTTCGCCTAAAGAGTATAAGACTTGGGGGCACCTTGACCCATATTTCACCTTCAGGAATCGTTCCTTGAAACCCTTATAGTTAGAGGTATACACATGGATGAAACTTCTGTGAAGAAGATCATTAACTTGGAATCACGAAAGCTTCTCGGTTCCTTTTACCTCATAAAAGGAGAAGAATAGACCGACTATGAGAATGCTATTCATTGCCTCACAGACTATCTCAAAGGTCTTTATAAAGCCTCAATTGTTAGGGAGAAGTTGTGAGGGTGTGACATTCATGGCCTTAAAAACATCGACCTTGAACTCAGAGAAGGGTATGCGGACTCTGAAATTTTTCAAGACCCCTGCATATTAATAAAAGAAGTCTTCATCTGTGGACTTTTGACGAAGCACACATACGCGATCCCCGGGGATGCATGCCTCCAGGATAACGTCACTTTCTTGACCAGTTGAGGAGATCGCCATCAAAGACCGAAGTTTATCGATCTCCGTATCATCGAGCACACTATTCTTGTAATCCATGACTTCGAGGTCAAAGGGGGGCAGAAACTTCCATAAGAAATTCTACAGAACCTGAGGAGGAAGAATCGTGGTCAGAATCACTCAAAGAATCAAGAGTGAAACCATAAACTTTCAGTGTGATCCAATCAAACCCCTCCTGACCTAGAACGCCTTGTATCTCTGGTCCCACAACTCTTTCCTCTCTGCGACATTAGAGAGTTTTACGATATTTCCTTCGTCATCACACTCGCTTAGGGTAACCATAATCTAAAAGGCAAAACGAAAACGAAAGGATAGAGAAAAATGCTTGTAAAATGGAGAACACTTGAAGTTGATTGAATGTCTTTTGAAGATGTGACGCCTTCTGCAATATTAGAGATAAAAAAGGAAAGGAGGAAAAGTAGGGCTTTAATAGAGTCTAATGAACAGTGCGATAGGGGAGGGAAACGTCACCCAATGAACATAAGTTTAGGTAGAAGCCACCATTGCTTTAGGAAAGAGAAGTGGTGACTCTTCACTCCACGACATGTGGGTCAGAATAAAGCAGCAACCCAGCAGCGCCTGCATTACCTTCCGCGACTATGTGACCAAATATGGTGTCCTTACAAGAAAGGACTTGAACTCGGGGGACTTATGTACATCCCGAAAATAATAGGCCCGACCGGGTAGAGTAATCGACAGGTCTAAAGGTTAAACTAGTAGTCGGCTCAGGGACAAAGATATCTGGGGTGTAACTCGGCCAAAAGAATATCAGATGATCCACGGACCCGTGTAGCAACCCGTCATCATCATCGACCCGGATAAGGTAGGTGGCCGAGACGCATCTGCGTGTGACCAATCTTCATCTCAGTTCATTAATGTCTATAACCTCTGACGACGCAATCATTACTGCGTTACACATCTTAGATTCCTCCATTCATGGAGACGAAGGAGGTTATAGAGTTATAGAACTCAAGAGTCACTCATTAATTGAGGCTCTTGATGACGCGAAAGATACATATTATATAAAGGGGCTCCCGCAAGAGGGTAAACAAGACATTCATCTTAGGACACACACTTCACTGACGTAACTTCCAAATCCCCCAATCACTCTTTAAACTTACTATGGTAAGATCTCCCTAGCAACCTCTTGAGAAGCCGACCGAATATTTGTTCTATGCAAGAACAGAATGAATGAATTTGAAAAGAAAGAAAAAAATATTTTTTTTTCATTATTGCGATCGCATTTGGTCGTGAGACCTAGTGCCAACGTACTCCCTCGTGCAATGGAAAAGTCAGAGCATCGGAATTTGACTGAAAAAGAACAAAATGGTGTGTTGATTAATTTTAAGTGAAGAGACAAGTCATCATTTTTAAGGAGAAGACTCGTATAATCGCCGATAAGGTATGAGAAAGAGGGACTACGCACCAACATGAGTGAGGGTTTGAGAACTCTTCTAGTACTCAAGTGGAAAAGTCGACAACCGTGAGAATAGAGGAATAACATCTTGATTATAAATGAATCGTGTCTAATCTTAAAAAAAGTTTTAAAGGGAAAAAGTGTGCGAGGCACAAAAACAAAAATGATTTGAATGAGGTTTTTGACGGAAAAATTCAGAATGGAGGAAGGAGATATCGGAAATGGTGGATGTTGCAGCTTCTTCGAACTGAGGTGAGATGGTTGAAGTTGGTGTTGCAGCTGATACAGTGAGTGTGGTGTTCGTCACGGAAACGCAGTAGTGGGACTTGAACGGTGATGATTGTGTTGATGATGTTGGTGCGAACGTGAAGTGGCTGTACAACAGTGATGCAAAATCGGTTTTTTGTACGGAAATTGACGGGAGCATGTGGTAGTGGATGATAGGGATGGTGGTTGATGGAAGTACAGAGGAAGATGGAAGGTGAAATGGTTAACGTGACGTGTAGTGGGAATTTGATGGTTGCGGAAATTTATTTGAGGTGTGATTGAAGTGCTTCTGGTTGGCTCGTCGGAATATGGTTCAACAGTGAAGCAAGGATGATGTGGTTTCACATGGTTGTGGTTTATTGAAGATGAAGGAGGGTGATGTATTGTTATGTTTGAAGATTAGTGGTTGACCGGACGTGACCGGAAATGGTGTATGAAGGTGATTAATTTTACGTGAATAGTTTTTTCACAGAAGTTGTTGGAGATATGCTTCTCATTTTCATTTGAGAGAGAAAGATGTAAACGGCGGATCCAGATTGGTTAATTGAGTGGCTCCCTCCTCTTCATCCAACTTGTTATTATATATACTAAATAATAGAGCTTACGTAAAGACCAACATATATATATATATATATATATATATATATATATATATATATATATATATATATATATATATATATAAAGAACAATCATGAACATGCAAAATTATGTAGAAACAAATTTTCATTTAATAATCTGTTTGTAAAACTCAAATATCGATATTATTGACATATAAATAAGGGTTAAATATATTTTTGATCCTTATAAATATCTCAAATTTCATTTTTAATTTTTATTAAAAAATAATAAATTTTGGTGTTTAAAAAATTTTTGTTCATCCAGATTTAGTCTCTGTTATTTTCTAAAATTTTAAAAAGTGTTTAATTATCCTTAAATTTTAAATTTTTGAATAATATTTTTCGTGTTTAGAATACTATGAAATATTTCTTTATCAAAATTTAGAATTTTTTAAATGAGAAAAATTAAATACGATTTTGTTCTGGACTGACCCGACAGCTTGATCGGGCCCAGTCTAAGAAATCTCATGAGTGTCAACCGCTGGCCGTTGCCCAGGCCAATCTCGCACGTGTCGGGCAATGCCTCCCCTCTCGTCCTTCTGGCCCAGCACCAATCCAAGATGCCCTTCGAGCATCTCCTCAGCCTGCCCGACACCAACGTCGTGCGGGCCTCCAGGAACCGACCAGGGGATGCCCGTAACCAGCTCTCCCCCGGGACCAACGACTAGTTACGTGCACAACTTCCCGGTTTGACCAGGTCCTGACAATTACCTAATTTTCCGAACCCGTATATCTAGGCGGGAAATCAGGAACCAATGGTCACGCGTCAGTGGCATTATATAAACCATCACACCTGTGAGGACCAGGTATCACATATTCATTACTCACTACCTGATATTTTGCTAGTACCTCCTTGCTCCCACTCTTACTTGATCGTTGGAGTATCTTGCAGGTACAACCCCTCTCTCCTTTGCCCGACTGAAGATCATCCTCCGACCACTCTTCAAGTTCTGATCAACCGCAAGATCGATTTTTATTTTATTTTAAAAGATATTGATAAAAATAATGAAAATCTCGACTGAGAAATCAAATTTTGAATTTCTTTTTTTCCAAGGAACTTTTTATAATATTCTAAACATGTATACAAAAGAATCATTCAAAAATACACATTGGTTTAACAATAGAGACTAAAATTATGTGCATAATAATTTTGTAGGGACTAAAACATGTCATTATTTTAATAAGGACTAAAAATGAAGTTTGAGATATTTATAGGGACCAAAAATATATTTAACCCTATAAATAACTTAATACAATGCATGAATCAAGTAAAGAGTTAGAAATGCATTAAATGAAATAACAAATATTTTCAACTATAAAATGATACCAATGTTGATTTAAACTGACTTTTGGTCAACTTAAATACAACTAACGATGCAAAATATGATGAATGAAGATGTTTAATGATGATTGTGACCAAATAAAAAAATATGATATGATAATGCGACAAAAAAATTTAGGGGAGAAATTTAGGGTGCAACAATAGCAACAAACGTGCATAACGATAGTAATCCCCAAACAAACCTCATTCGCGTGTGGCTCTCATGATCGCGCTAGTAGAGTATCCACCCAGTAGGAGTCATGACTATGCACTCTAGTCCTATGTGTTCCTAAGTGTTTCTCTTTGGCATGGGTATTTATTGGGCCTCTTACCTCATAGTAACATCCCACCCACCAAAAAAACAACAGCACAACATATATCCAACATAATACAACTAAAATCCAGATGCAATACATGCAAAGATATAAAGAAAATGAAGCAAATAAAGCATAAAGAAATAAACATCCAAATAAAAAAAACAACCAAGAGCTAGGACTGACTCACTTAGGTTCCCCAATGAAGTCGTCAATTGTCACTACCGCAAAAAATATCAAACACAATGAAGTCGCCATTGAATATTTATTTATCCCAAGGAAGAGAAAGGAAAACATCGAAGAAAACCTATAAAGGAAAAGATCATGGT